CTTTGCTTTGGTGAAGATTGACAGCCTTGGAGACCCTCTGGGGTAGTTCTGCTCTGTCCTCTAGGGGCGCTGTGAGCTGGAATTGGCTGATGCCGTCATGTTTCTGGATTTGAATATTCCTCGCTGCACACCACTGACTGAGCACAATCTATGTGCCAGACGCCATGCTCAGTGCTTACGATACAGCTGTGAGAAGGGCCTGACAGATGCAGGGCTAGTGAGTGGAAGCAGGCAGAACACGTAGGGAAACCATTAACTACTGGTTGTGATGGGTGCCTGACAGGGAGCAAACACATGGATGGATAGATGAATGAACGAATGAATGAACATGCAGGGGGATTGGGTGAGTAGGGAACTGCAGAGAGAGGCCTCGGAGAGATTTCCCGAGACATGATGGGGTGCGGTGGGTAGGCGAGGAGGGAGGTCTGGGTAGAGACCCAAAGGCCTTGAGGCAGGAACAAGCTCACCCGTTGGAAGACTGGAGAGCAGAGCTGAGCGGTAGGAGGCCTGCGAGCAGGAAGGGGCTCACGGGGTTGGAGGTGGCTGGGCAGCCCCAGATGACGCAGCCTGAGAGCCGGGGAAGCCACCAGTGTATGCCTGTCAGGTGGTGGAGTGATGGAGTCTACACTGTCAAGGCTGCGTGGGAAGCAGGCAGTCGTGGGGGGTGGCAGGAAGAAGGCTTTCTCACCCCTTGGGTTTTTAGAGAATTGGTTGTGATCGGACGATGAAGACTGCAATTGGGGGTTACCCCCGAGGACAACATGCACTCATTCAGTGTCTTCTGAGTGGAAAAAGAAAACTTAAGTGTCTTAGGAGCCTTCGGGGGAACCTTCACATAGACCCACCTTGTTCATGCCACGGGCATCTTCTCAAAGTGCTGCGTGGAAACCCAGTTGTAACGAATTTAATTGCTGACAGAATTTCCCCAGAAGCACTTAATGTTTAAAAGTCAGGAAGTTCTGTTTTCAGCACGTGGTGGGCTGTGCTGTTTTAAACCAAGCCCCTCTGCTGAGGAAAACTGGAACAGCTGCACACACTATGAAAGAAAAACAGCTGTATAAAGGCACCAGGGAGCCACTGGGCAGCAGAGATGGGGGAGATCTAACAGACAGCAGAGCCCGACGTGCGGGCCTCTTCCCTCTCAGGGCATTTGCTGAGTTTAGACTAGCTGTCGGCAGGTGTACAGCTTCTAGCGGATTAGTTGGAATAGGGGTCAGAGCCGAGTCTCGCCAAGGAGGAGGGGCCCTGGTAAGCCCCAGTCTCTGGGTCGAACCAGAGTGCTGCACCCTGGGAGTGAAGGTGAACCAGACGTAAACCCTCCCAGCTGGACCAGGAAGCAACCTCATGGGGGATGGAGATCCACTGGTGTTGTCAAGGACTCCATGTCACTTGGATCCACAATCCGCGCCCATGGAGGCAGCAGTCGAGAAATCAAACAGTGTCCCCAGAGTGAACTCCAGACCCCAAACC